TTCCGTAGTAGCCGAAAATCGTCAAATAGGTGGTGTTTTCGCGTGTTTTTGCAACTCTCGGAGCAAGAAACACCGTAAATACCAATGTTTTTGGCGGGTCAGAAGCCCAAAACCACGGTATTTACAATGTTGTTTTGCCTCTGGTAGCAAAAAGCACGGTATTTACAGTGTTTTTTGGCCAGCACCTAGCAAAAACACTGGTATTTACGGATGTTTCACCATGTAACAAAATGTGGTTTCTCGATCCGAAAAGAACAAAAATACTGTAAATGACACGGTTGGTGCGTGGGATGCGTGGAGGGGGGGGTACTGAAATGACTAGCAATCTCCTGAATAATCAGGTAACGGGGCTGGCCGCCCTCCCCTTTACTTCGTTCGTAAAGCAAAACTCAAGGTAGCCCCTCTGGAGCTACCTTTCGTGATTAAACAAAAGCACGAAACCATGGACGTCCTGCAAATGGGAATGGGTAAACAAGTACCTATAAGTCGTAACAATGGGTGACCAGTGAATGATAGGAATATACAGCCAAGAAAATGCAAATAGACCCAGCAGTGAGGAGATAAACACCAAGAACTAAGATCACATGATATTACTTCCGATACAACTGCATAAAATCTGACAATTTACAAATGGAAATGAGTACTGTTGCGAAGAGAAGGCGGCAATGAGATAAGACAAACTTCCACAATGGTATCCAGTACCAAATTCCTGAAGTACCAACACTTGCCAGTGATGACCCCAAACACAGTAAGGGTGCCAGGCCTTAGGGAAGCAGAGACCAAGTAGATGAACGCTGTGATGACGAAGGTTTGACGGTAATCATAGGCATCCATCAAGTAGCCTGGTTTCACAACTGAAATCCTGAAAAATTCTGGGCTGCAAAGCAAAGTTGGAAACCTATAAATGCTCTCTCTGCAAACGGGTTCTGTTCGTATAGTCTTGCAAATTCGGTAAGTCTCAAAATTTCCTCAATTCGAGCCTGCCTCATGAACCAAAATCGGTCATGCTTGAAATATCAACCATTTATTCTCAGATTCTCAGGGGCGCTACATACATTGTAAACCACCCAAATAATCCCAAACAGTTCCGAAAAGATCGACATGGGTACGGGTATATCCCAAAAAGCGGGCCTCGGTGCAAATTCGTGGTCAAAAACCTAGCTTGTAGCGGTTGTCATGAACATTCCCATCCCTTAAAATCCCCTATCATTTTGAACTAAATCAACAAAAACGCAACTCAAACTTCTTAAAAATCATGCTTACCATTGGTAACTTATCATCAGTTTGAACTCGCCAGAACCTAACACCATCCATCCCCACGCTCCGCCTCCGATCACTGCAGAGCCAGACCAGGACATACTGCTGATGCTCTCCGCAGCGTTCCAGCGGCCACGCTCAGAGGAGGGCACGAAGTCCTGGTGAACTTTGCGGCCGGAAAAAGGGGATTTCCAAGGGAGAAATGATGAAAATCATAGGGGAGTAAGGAGGAAATTATGAAAAAAGACCAAGGAAAAAATCACGGAATATGACTGATAAATCAGCAATATGAGATGGTCCCGAATCAGCCTGGGGTGTCATTCCAAGGTAAACCATGGATATGACAAATATGAAAATTCATGGAAGAAAAACCAACCATGAATAGGATATTTGTATTGATTCAAGCCTACTAGCTGTAACAGCGAGCACGATCTAGAGCACGATTTTTTGCACGAAGGAGAGCACCAAAAAGCACGGTCTAGAGCACGATTTTTTGCACGAGGGAAAGCACCAAAAAGCACGATTTTGTGCACGAAGGAAAACACTCAAAACAACGTTTGCCCAAAATACAACGAAATGTTTTTTTGACTGTTACAGCTATTAGGACGGACTCAACATATGTATGATGATTATACTATATGACAGAAGGGATTAATGGTTGCAAAACTTTACGGTATACCCAGTTGGGAGAAGGTTGGAGTGTCTAACAACAAATGGGGATTTAACCATCACAAGTTGGGATCTAACCCCAACAATAGGGATTTTGCAAAAAAAATGGTGGCGATCAAAGTTGGGGTACCAATGGATCCATCGTTCGCTTTTAGTATAGCATCCATTCTGGGGAACTCATCGCTTTGACTCCACCCTGTGTAAATTGCTTTGATAACGACGGAGAAGCCTATTTCTTGAGGACTTGACCATGTGTTGCCTAGCTTTGAATGGGGATATCACCCTGCAAAAATAGGAGGGGATGGGTCACGCAGTATTGAAGCAATACAGGCAAAAAATGAGCAGTGATGCAACAAAAATGCCGATCGAAACAACCAAACCTCGACATCTGACCATTGTTGTACATCATTTACATAAGTATATAATACCTTGTTCTTTGTGATGTTTGCAACTCATGATGTTGCCACCTTTGAACCAAAATCAAACACATGATGAAAATTCCACTGATCAAGAAACATGAGTTGGCGTGCAACACTTGCACGCTGCACATCAATCAAACAATGAGATATCCCTACGGGAGATTCACCATTGGTGGTGATTGCTTAGGCTCTTAGACCCTCCATTTGGGTCAGTTATGTGGACCAATACTTGCATATGATTTTGGACGCATAAAGCCGTCCTTTTGTGGAAACTCCGGTGGCTTTGCTATCTAGGCTTCGGGCTAAGAGAGCCTAGATTGATTTGCCCATGAGACAAGCGAATATTATCTGAAGAATGAACACTTGCAAGTCTGTAGTCAAAAATCATCAAAAAAGAACGCACCTCCACCTCTCACCTCCAATTTGGGCTTATCTCAGCACGGGGAATATACCCCAAACCCATGTCCATTAAGTCGTGGGGTTCCCCAGTCCATCAGAATGGATCGGTCGATGGGGTAGATGGCATTCGCCAGAGCGCCACGGATCACAAAGACCACCAACACACTGGGCAGCCACCTGCTGCAGATCAAATGGGCTCTGAGGGCATACCCCAGGTATGGCTGCACAAGCTATAATGATAGTGAAACAATGGATTTAGGGGTACCCTATCTTCAGACAAACCCAAATAATCTTGGGTCATGAGGCAGCAAGATGTTGGGGCTTCGTATTTGCGTATCAAATGGCTTTACCCGGCTCTATCCCAGGTCCTCTTCAGCCATGGTTCTAGAGTTGACATGATACGATCCGTGGGACAAAAGAAATTTGTGATTGTCTGCCTTAGAGAGCAGTAGTCAAGTATTGAAGAAGCTCCGATTTGCTGTGCTGTCATTTCAGTTTGTGTCTGAATGGCATCAACGTCTCGATAACTGATCAACGGGCCGAATCCATCCCGGAGGGGGCCTGAGATATGCCAAAAGGAAAAGGCACATCACACCAGACAGCGCAAACAAGAGTCCAGCCTGGCTTGGACCAGTTGGACCAGTTGGACCAGTTGGACCAGTTGGCATTTTGTTTTTTTGGGTTTTTTTGGAACAACACGAAGCGTGGCTTCACCATCCCCGGCCTGAACACGACCAATCTTGCCTGCAGCCTTTTCACATAGCCAGGTGAAAAAGCCAAAGGAGAGACCATAGATGGCGAAAAGCAACTGGATCTGTCCTGTGAGCACCAAGGACCTCTATTTCCAATGCTGGGGGAACAGTATCTTTATGTTGGCGGGTATATAAGCCATCATGAATGGTGACACAACCAGCAATGATAGCCATACAACCCAGAATTGCTAGCATACTATGCATACATTGCATTACTTACATTGGTGGCATGGCATGGCATGGCGTGCTGTGGCGTGGCAGACGCGGCATGGCATGGCATGCTCTCGCAATGTTACATTTCACTATATACATAACATAACATAAAATCAAGTTACACTCCATTACATGAATGTACGCGCGAAAGCAGACGTTCACCCAAACCCAAAATCTTACACCAAAACAGTGATATCTATATCAATATCTATCTATGTATTTATATATATATAACATGTATTTGTCTTCAGAGCATGAACGAAAACACTGGCTATACGCAAAGATGTTGACTTTATATGCGTCCAATATTTTAGGGTCCTAGGGTTTAGGTTTTGTGGTTTTAGTCTTTAGGTTTTTAGGGTTTGGAGTTTGTTGTTTGGAAAAAGTTCGAAAACATTGGCCCCCAGGTATCTAAGCATGTCAAAGGATATGCAGGATTCGTCACGAAGAGACCCGTCTTCATCCCATCCTATGGGTCACAAGTCACAAAGACATCTTAAAACGTTTCTCCGTAGAATGAGCTATCTCCACCCATCCATCATCAACCCACTGCCATGCCGAGGTGCCGGGATTCAAGCCGTAGTCCTCCTTGAAGAACAGCGGGAAGAACTTCACGGTCATCCCGGCCCCCACTGCAGAGACCACGTCCAAGGTGCAGATCAGCCAAGGTACGACCCGCGCGTAGCGCAGGTTGCAATAAGCGCCTGAAGCCTGGCACACAAATCATGATAATCATGGGATCACGCGAGGTTTCCTAAGGCATGGTACCCCCAAATCATCCAAGTCAATGACCATTTTAGTCACCACCGAAACTATTGAAACCCATGGTGACTTAGGGATCCCCCATGACTTAGGACCTAGGAAACTTTCAAATGGCGGGGAAAAGATGCCAATTGACCTTCAACCGCGATGCCACAAATTCCCCTCCCAACCAATGGGGAGATCAAAATTGCTGAAAAAAAACAATTTCAATTGAGGTTTATTATTGGGTTGACCACATTAGCCTAGAACCTTCATGGAGAGACGTTCAACAGCGCATGACGACATTTTTCTGTCCTCCTTAATTGCCATATATTGCCATGATGTGTCCAAGATGTTTATCTGAAAATCGTCCACCATCACTTGCCCCGGTTCGGCACCTCGGCGCCGCCATCTTCATGTTGAGCATCTTTCAAATTCACCAAGAACATGTTCGCTGGGACCATCCCCAAGAAACCAATGATCAGCACAACGTGGAGAACCGATAGTTTCCTGGCGGCAGCTGTGAAATCAAAAAAAATTGGGGTTCTGAGTCACTTGTTTGCACCTTTAAAAACAAAATGTACATGGCGGATATAGACAGAAATACACGGATAGAAACCGCCCCATCCATTTCTTCACAGCAACATCGCAAAAAAGGGGTTGTTCATAGCTGGCATGCCGACACGTCCACGTCCCAACGGTTTCAAACATGGCACCTTGAAGATCTAACGTTGCATACCATCCATGAACCGTGAGTCTTCTGAACCAATCTAGAATCTGGTAAAAAACACACTGGAGTCTAGATCTCAAAATTTCTAAGAAATTGACAATGGCATGAATGTGCCAATGCAGCAAAGTTGCCACTCATTTCCGAAATATGCAAACAAAAAGAGGCTGAGGAAAGGTCCAGCACCATAGCCGATTTGATTGACGATACTCACTCGCGATAACCACTTTGCTCGTGATCCCTGTGGGATAGAATCGGAGTACAACGCAAAACTCGCGGTGTTTTGTATGGCACTGTACGCTCCAAAAACGAACAGAGAGGCATAGATGATTGGGAAATTGTCTAAGCCAACACCTGCAATTGAGGTTCCAACGGCCAGAACGGCCAACAAAACACACCAATTCAGAATTTTGCTTCGCGAACATGTATCTGTCAAAATTCCAGCAGGACCTGCAAGCACAATTTGGCTCAATCCAGAAATGGATTCAGCCCAACCCACGGCAGTGTTGGAATTTCCAGCCATAATGAAGAGGTACGTGTCAAAGAGGCCCAACTGCGCGATGGATGAGAACACTGAAAAGATGCCATTGAACCAAATGATTTTCCAAATATTTTTTTGCAGTTGCTCCTCCGTCGCTCTCTCCGCGCCACTTCCCATTGCTGCAATTTCACTGGTCTGGTTTGCTATCGTTTTACTTGGACACAAGGTGATCTGGGGTCCCGAATCACGTGTCAACCATTTTGGTGTCATATAGATTTTGTTTCATGTCAGGTGCCTGTGCAATGCAATATTGTAGGTGTATGGCATGTTCACATCATGCCTTTCAAACTGTGCAAAATGCGCAATGCGGTTTGACCAAGTTGCAATCCACAAGGGCGACAAATAATCCAACATATACACCAGTGTACACCAAGTTTGGACCGTGCATTTAAAATTGTATTGTGAAGGTTAAAATCTTTGCGACATGGTGGAAAATTAGATTGCACAAACGACAAACACCAAAATTGGTGGATTTTACGCCGTTTGTTTGACAGTGTTGTCACAATGTTGTTTCGGCAGAGGTTTGTTTCCGCCAAAGGACATTTCCAATATTATGTGTCTCTCACAACCACGTACAGATTGTTTTGGTTTCCCAACATAGTCTTTGGCATAGAGTTGTTTGTCCCATTCAAATTTTGCCCGTTTTCAATGAAGTCCGTGTTCACGAACGCAACGTTTCATTTTTGCAATATTGGCACGAACTTTGCAACCCAACACGCCGCTCTAGGGTTCCAAAGTTCCACGGCTCCAGAATGCCAGATTCATTTTCGTTTTCAAAACGAACAATTTATTTGCGTTTCGCCGTTCACACTTGCAGAAACTCTCTTTTCTGACTTTGGGATCGCTCGCGTTCCTTACGTTTGGCTGAGGTTATGGCCACATTTTGGATGTGAATGAGCGAGCTGATCACGACCAGGATGCCGGATGAAGGGTCAAATCAAGCCAATAGTGAATGGACAACCCGCCACGCCCCCTTTTTGAACCAGAAGCGTTGGAGGATGATGGACATTGTTAACCTGATTTGCAATTGCAAATCACACGTTCAAATAAGACATGGTCACACATGACTTTCGGTCATTACGATTCGCCACTCACACTTGCAGAGGCCTCTTTCTCTGACTTGGAATTGTTCGTGTTCTTTGTCATTTTGGCTGGGGTTATGGCCATATTTTCGATGTCAATGAGCGAGCTGATCACGACCAGGATGCCGTTCAACTTCTGGAAGTTGTAGGGGTGGATGAAGGGTCAAATCAAGCCAATAGTGAATGGACAACCCGCCACGCCCCCTTTTTGAACCAGAAGCGTTGGAGGATGATGGACATTGTTAACCTGATTTGCAATTGCAAATCACACGTTCAAATAAGACATGGTCACACATGACTTTCGGTCATTACGATTCGCCACTCACACTTGCAGAGGCCTCTTTCTCTGACTTGGAATTGTTCGTGTTCTTTGTCATTTTGGCTGGGGTTATGGCCATATTTTCGATGTCAATGAGCGAGCTGATCACGACCAGGATGCCGTTCAACTTCTGGAAGTTGTAGGGGTGGATGAAGGGTCAAATCAAGCCAATAGTGAATGGACAACCCACCACGCCCCCTTTTTGAACCAGAAGCGTTGGAGGATGATGGACATTGTTAACCTGATTTGCAATTGCAAATCACACGTTCAAATAAGACATGGTCACACATGACTTTCGGTCATTACGATTCGCCACTCACACTTGCAGAGGCCTCTTTCTCTGACTTGGAATTGTTCGTGTTCTTTGTCTGTCACACATGAATTTCGGTCATTACGTTTCGCCACTCACACTTGCAGAGGCCTCTTTCTCTGACTTGGAATTGTTCGTGTTCTTCGTCATTTTGGCAGGGGTTATGATATGGCTACATCTTCGATGTGAACGGGCGAGCTGATCACAAGCAGGACGTTTGTCAATTTCTGGAAGTTGTAGGGGTGCATGGAAGGTCAAATACACCCAAAATTGAGCCGAAAACCCGCCACGCCCCCCCTCTTGAACCACAAGCATTGGAAGACGATAGACATTGTTCACTTGATTTGCAATTGCAAATCACACGCTCAAATAAGACATGGCCACATGTGACTTTCGTTTATTGTGTTTCGGCGTTCACACTTGCAAAGGCCTCTTTTGTCTGACTTGGGATGTTCACTACTTGGCTTCCATTACGCTTCAAGATTCACCCCACCAAAAGATTAAAGAAAAGAGCAGCACGCACAGAGATAGCAAGCACACCCTTTTGAATGTCTGGTGCATCGATCGGTGTCCGGGGACTTCTTGATACGACACAACCAACGGTCAAAATGTGTGATAAATAAAACACATCCCAAGTGAAACATGATATTCAACTCCCCCAAGGATGTATTTTAAAATATATATATACAAGATCAGCGGATCAACAATACAACCACCAATATGAAGTGGGGCAGTCAAACGTAACTAATCCACAGGAGAAACTCACTCAGAAGGAGCCCTTTCCTGCAGGACCGCCTTCATTGTACGCAATTCTGAGATCGTCATTGGGGTTTCTTTGCCTCTCACGGCACGCTGTTTCTCCAGCGCCTCCAGGATCCCAGCCATCCCTTTCTGGATCTTGGCAACCATGGGTTCTGATGGCTTTGCTGACTGATTCCAGTCCCAGGATTGGGATTCCATGTTCTTTCGCACAGCATTGAAGTAATTCGTGGTTTCCTCCTAAAATCCCTCTAGTTGGGATGCGTAAAAATGAATGCCGTCGTTGCGTAGCACGAATTGAAGCATTCAATTGTTCCATATTCTGATCCATCTTGGCAATGTGTGGAAATGTTCTGCCAATCTCCTTGGATCTCCAGCGCGTCCTTCAGAGCTAGCATGGCTGCCCGTGACTCAAGGGAACAATTTCCAAGAGTTCCTTGGAGCAGCTGATCTCTTCGAGTTTTCTGGCTCCTCATCACCACCTTTCCGGCCTTCCCCTTCACACATCTCAGCAGCACTTCGGCTCCCTTTTTTCCTCGCAATGTGACCGCTATGCTCTGTGGCACGGTCCTTATTGAACAGAAATATAGCATACCAAGCAAAAGTTAATTAAACTAGAATGAGTTGCATTCAGCAAGAAACTGCTGATCAAAACAGATTGCCGTCAGTTGGCCGACAGAAAGCAACAGCAAAACGAAACCAGCGAAGACAGCCAGAACTGCATTTCGTCGCTCCACCAACAAGAAACAACAACCAAAGGGGCCAGGACCCAACGCAAAGACACAATCCGACCAACTGACAGCTTTGTGCAGCTACGCTATCAAGAGGAGCTAGCACCGAGGAGCTAGTACCGGCAGTAAAGTCCAACTGCCAACGGTATCCCAAAGAAAACAATTAATTGCACCTTAAGAAAAAGGTGGCTCACCGCTTTCGGTATCAGCACACAGGCAAGTTTGTGACTATCCGAAATGAAATGGCACAAAAAAAGAAGCCTCTCAGATTCCACTCAGAAGAGCTTGAAAGGGAGCCACCCACAGCCACGCTACTTTTTTTTCCTCGGGGTGTTGCCGACATGCTCTGTGGCACGGTCCTTCTTACAGAAAGATGCATGACAAGCATAAACTAATTGGCAGCAACGCTAATTCACAGGAGACCTATGAACACTGCAATTGCACAAAGATTACATAGCCAGTTGGCCAAACCATCGCAAAAGCGAAGCCGACAGAGCAAACGACGTGCAGATCCCCCAGCCAAATCTGTGTATCAAAGCACCGTCAAAAACAACAGCAGAAATGGGGCCAGGGCCCAGCGCGAACCAACAGCAAGTGCCAACTGACTACAAGATATCGCCTAAAAAAAACATGCAATAGTCAGTGCAGAAAACGGTGACACGATAGTCAGCCGACAAACGTCCGCAAAAAAAAAAAACATGCCGCATTGGGCCGTTCGAGACCAGTCACAACCGTGCCAATAAAAGCAGCTAGCTACACCTCTCAAAGTCCACTCAGAAGTTCTTCTAGCGGAGCATCAGCAAAACGTTCGTCCCGAAATCAGGTAGAGAAGTGCAGATCAAAACCGGACTGCATGACATGAGGGGGCTGCTCCCAAGCAAAGAAGCACACCGACATGCTAGCCACGTTGCAAGGCGAAAAGACAACGCCGCAGCAGTGTCATGCCAGGGGTGACAGACGGCGGCACGGCTGCAATCCAGACATTACCTCCAGCCAGCTCCTCATAGCCAAAGGCAGAGAGGAGACCACTTCGTGCCAAGAATACTGCCCGCAGGGATGAAGAAACTGGCCATCGACCGGAAGGAAAAAAAGCGACGAAATGCAGCAAAATGATCATGAAGAGCAGTGAAACATGAAGACAATAAAGAAAGTTGCCCGTACTGTACTTGACTTCAGCATCTCGAGCTTGCCGCTGTTAATCCTAGGCTTCAAGGCCTCCGGTGGTTCTCTCTGAAAAAACCGGTGTGTCACGAGCATTCTGCGTTTTCCCACCGGTGGGTTTCCCATCCCTGCATCACAAGACCTGGCTCAAGACTTGGCTCAAGACATATCAAGATCAAAAAGTTTGGCTCAAGTATTTACTGTCGTAGGCGTGCAGAAAAAGAGGACCTCTAGTTATTTCCTCGGTCTTTGGTGTGGCTAAAACTGCAGTTTAGTTGGTGCATGGGACCCAGCCAACATTTTCCGTGAACATTGTCTCAGTTGACACACAACTTCAAGGATGCACTGACAGCAATCCCGTTTTGTTTTCAAAAATGGATGTCGTGCCAGCTGAGCTGCAATTCCATCAAAGTGTGGTAACATGGCACTCCAGCATTGGAAAGGCTTCTGGAATTTTTTTGAGCCCATGAACAAGGACACTGTTGAGCTGGACAGTATGGACAGTAACTGCGAGGAATCAAAAGTGTGGACGGAATGAGCAGCGTAGAGAAAAGCTCTGGTGACTTTGTTGAAGGTGACCCAGCCTTCACTCCAGAAGGTCTACTCCACTGGATGTATGGAAGGTGTGCAAGACGCGAGTTGGTCGCGGCCTCAAACCAAGATCCAGCAAGGGTCGCAAAATACCAAGAGCGCAAACATCTCTTGTAGGAGATGCTCAGCTTCTTGCACCATGCGAACTATGAAGAATATGAAAGTGCCAGCAACATGCTT